AAGCTGGGTGAGTTTCTGGAGCTCTCCTATTCCTCCTCTCTCTCTCTTCTCTCCTCTTCTGCCCCAAGAGACAGAGCCCCCAGCACAGGGGTCCCCTCCAGATGACTGCACGCTGGACTCAGACTGCCATGCTTCAGAATGTTTTTTTGGTTGCTTCCTCACCTTCTGGGACTGCCTACCCAGGAATTGGTGGCAGTCCCATGACTACAGTATTCAGGTTGCAGCCTCTGTTCCTCCACCCACTATGGTCTGGAAACATCAAGTGAATTCTAGAAAGCAGGGGGAGGTAACAGAGTCACAGCCTTTGAAGCTCTGCACAGCTTCCTAAACAATTAACCCCTGCTTCTCCACCTACAGAGGAGGTAAACTAAATTTAATAAAGAAGAAAACAGGAGGCGCCATTCTAAGTGCAGTAGTAAATGCTGTATTTAATAATATAGGATTAAAAACACTCACAAGAGGCAATAGATAAACAAGCTCATCTGTGTAGGGGATATGACCACTCCTCTCCGTCCTGCAGGTACCGCCGGTCATGCCATGGATATAGGCTAAGATGGTATGGAGCCTGTAACCATTATGCGCAATAGAGACATGGAAAGCTGTACGCGACAGCCATCTTGTTAAGGTCTCAGCCATTTTGTTTTCATGAACAATCATCTTTCTCCTCTGCTCTTGAAATGGAATTTGTATCTATAAGTTGTAACGGACTTCAAAAAAGTCTCTTATCTTAAATAAAACACAAATAGAGGCCATCTCCAGAGCTGTAAACCACTAATTAGTCTTGGCAGGGTGTCTATTTTGCAAAGACACTTTCCTCTGCCCTATCATAAAACAATAACTCAGTCAGCTGTCACACATGACCTATTAGACTATTAGAGCTCTAGGAATGCAGAGCCTGCCATAAAACATCTATTTCACATGTAACCATTTCACATTCAGTTCATAACATCCAACATGAACTGGGCTAATTAATATTATGTATATATTTGGATAGATCATTTCATGCCGAGCCAAACAAGGTCCTACATGACTATGTTAGCACATAGGAAAGGGGAGAAAGCAGTCTCTTCCCTCCTGGGTGACAAAGGTATGCTGTGTTTGGTATCCCTGGGTTTGAAATATAATTCTGAATATTAATTTGCCAGTTGCTAGAATACAACCTACACATACTGGAAGTTATTAATATTAGTATGAAATTGTGGTTGGGACTTGGTCATAAACATGGTGCCCTCCTAGAACCCATCTCCTAAACCGGGGTATTGGTCAGTTGTTCTCAGGCGACACTCCTTTAATATCATAGAAAAGGACTGACAGGCCTGGTGAAGGGAGCTCTCATTTGCCATCAACCAAGAAACATCTTAACGTTCTTGAGAGCCAAGGTAACATTTTTGCTTGGACAATTGGACTGTGTTATACCAGGACTTTGCACGTATTCTGCCTTCTTAACGCCTTTCTTTTATTTCTCTGTTGTTTTATTGTTCTCTTTATGTCTTTGTAACATCCTTTTCTGTAAATATTTTAATTGCACCGTTTTGACCGTTTTAGTAATAAACCCTTTTTCAAAAAGTGTTGAAACTGTCTCTAAAGCTTTTAATGCAAAGTAAAGAATCCCTGTCTCTTGAAGAGTGCTACTGTATGTAACAATCATCTGAATATACATGTCTGTGGTGACAGTGTGTGTTGCTGACGCTTATGCTAAAATCAGTGTTATTGGTAGGATTTGTGAGTTTCCTCCTTCTTTTTAAAAAGGTGGTGGTGGCAGTGTGAAGGGTTAATTGCGTAATTAACCTAACCCAGTAACAATTGCTCTTAGGCTGCTGGCACATAGCTTGTGGTCCCGGGCGCTGGAAAAACTTTGTGCAGGGCGCAGCTGAGAGTGGCATTGTTACGCAAGTGACAGCGCGGTGCAAGATCAGCTGGTCCTTTGGTCACGAGTTGGTGAGAAGGGCAGGGGTTGGACACCGTGTCCCATCACAGAGCCCTTTGTGCAGTAGTTGAGATCTCCCTGATGTATTGGAGAACAGTAGAGCCGGTCCAACGGCGTCTAAACCAGGAAGAGTCTGTGCTAACCAGCGTGGAACACACCGGCGGAAATGACGTCACCGGAAGAGGCAGAGGGTCAGATGTGGAGTATACCAGGAACACAGGCAGAGGAAACAAGCCTCTAGCTCCTTCTACAGGCCTCTGCTGTTTTACGGCTGCCACTATCTTATGCTATTTTACACTTAGTGTCCCAGAGACTTTTCAAAGGTTATATCCATGGACATTATATGATATTTTTTTACCAGTGTTAATTTCTCGTGCCTGTCCCAGCATGGAATCATATGTCATGTGCCTTGCGAACATCTGACATTCTGTTTATTATCCATACTATTATTTTGGAATAACTTCACCTCTGTGCGCCAGAATTTCTTCCTTAAGGTAAACTAAATTTGCCTACACTCTATCATTCTAGGGGGTGCTGCATGATAAATGTATGCTTTTGGGTTCAATACCAGTTTAAGGTAGAACTTCACCTAAAAGGGGAAGTTCTGTTTTTCTGCCTCCTCCCACCACCAATCCCACCTTTGGACATTTTTTTGGGAGGTGTTGCTGGTGCCTAGTTTCGATAAGTACCTGCTTCCACTTCCACTCTGGACGCCTTGGAGATCTGAGCGGACATTCCCCATCACGTCACAGATTCCAGGAAGCTGAGGGACCATTCACAAAGCATGGTTATGAAGCTGCAAGAAGTCACACCCGGATTCCCAAAGTAAATACGCTGGCGCCGGTGGACCGGAAGCCTGATGAAGAACCAGCCCATATGAGGACAGCACTGGTTTCCTGGACAGGTGTGTCCTTATAATAAAAGTCAGCAGCTACAGTATTTGTAGCTGATGACTTTTTTTTTTTTTTTCGAGGGGGTTTCTGAAGTTCCTCTTTAAAGAGTAACTCCACTTTCATGGAAAAGAAATTGCAGATAAAAAAAAAATTAACATAGTATATACAATTGGTATACACGTCATATTATAAATGAACGTTAAAAATTATCTTTCCTTTTCAATCTGCAGCTCTACAATTTTCTGTAAAATGCAGTGCAATATGGCAACCTGGAAGTGTTCTGTACACTAATGGTGTACAGAGAATCCCCCAGAAATTGAATTTCCTACTTTTGTGATTGGCTGGCGGATTGTCCCAGAAGTCTGCACTAACATGCAAGTCAGATTTTGGGCATCCCCTGCAATAAAAATTTCATTCTTGGTGGGATACTCCCAAAAGGAAATCACCTCTAAAGGAATGCAGACCCTTGTAAGTGCAGCAGCTGATTGATAATTATGAAATCACTCCTATTCACATTAATTTTGCACATTGACACACAAACAGCTACTTCTTCAGAATAAAAAAGGTAATAATCTGCAACAGGGGAGTACCTACAGGGGTCGCAATTGCAACCCAACTCCATGCTGCAGGGGGCCCGTGAATCCCTCCTGTAAGCCTGGATAGGAATCTTGGTGGGGCGGCTTTATATAGAGGAATCGATCTCTCCATTTTCCTCCTGCAGCCGCCAAATGCCTGCTTCTCCTCCTCTCTCTTCTGCAGGCATTCAGCGGCTTAAGGAGGAAAATGGAGAGATTGATTCATCTGTATGCAGCCTCCCCCACTGCTTCTCCTGTCCAGCTTCTTTCTGCTGTCCCCCCTGTGCTCTTTGCCTGCCCCCCCCCCCCCATCCGACCCATCTTTCAGGATGGATTGCGGGGAAGGGATCGGTAAATATGTAATTTCCCAGACCCTTCCTTTTCTGAATGGAGAGTCAGTGATCTGTACTGATCACTGACTCTGTTCATTCATAACTGAACCATAGTAAATTGTGTTTACTATGCTTCAGTTTGTGAATTAACGGAAAGCTTTGTGTAGCTGAAGCTGCAGAGAAGTAGATTGAGGGCTGTGTCATCAATCTCCTTTCTCTGTTCCAATGGTGAAACATCAGGGATCTTTTTAGGCCCTTGATATACCACCAAAGCTCCCAACTGGGATCCTAAAAAAAATTGTAAACAATAATAAAAAATAACATTTAAAAAAATTGTTTTAAAAATGGTAAAAAGTAATTAAAAAATAACAAACATAAAAAAAACTACTGTTTCCAGAGGTGGAACTCCCAGGGTCACAAAGGTCACACTTGCAACTTGGCTCTGGCAGAAGGGCCCCACCTGGGAGTCATGGCACATGTCAGTGACACCAAGTCAGTTCCCACAATGTCAGAGTGTTCGCCGCTGTCCTGCAAGCCTGCTATAAGTCGCTGATCTCCGCCATTACTAGAAATATTAATTAAAAAAAAAAAATCAAAATTTCCTCTATCTTTACCGACATTTGTAAACGCTATAACTTTCACGTAAACCAATTAATTTACACATATTGGGATTTTTTTTTTACCAAAGACGTCGCAGAATACATTTTGACCTAAATTTATGATGAAATTTGATTTTTTTTAAATTTTTTTACTGGATATGTTTTATAGCAAAAAGTCAAAAATACTGTTTTTTTTTTTTTTTCTGAAAATTGTCGGCCTTTTTTTTTACAGCGTAAAAAAAATTAAAAACACACAGGCAATCAAATACTATCGAAAAAAGCTCAATTCGTGGGGGAAAAAAGGACGTAAATGTCATTTTGGTGCAGCGTTGCATGACTGCGCAATTGTCATTTAAAATAACGCAGTGCTGTAATGCAAAAAATGGCCTGGTCAGGAAGGGAGGTAAATCCTCTGGAGGGCAAGTGGTTAAAATCCCTGCAATGTACATAGATCACCCAGAGGGGAATGTTTTTTTCTCAACAAAAGTGGAATTACTCTAGGATGCCTTAGGCTACACTATTGAGAAAACTGAGAGGCAGTTCAAGAAAAGTGTCACAAGGTGTCGCTGTGCTGCATCCCCTCAGCTGAGCTGTGCACTGTACGTCATAGGGTCTCTCTAGCTGCTTCCAGTCTCCTCTCTATCGCTGACTCGCCGGACTGGGTGACGTTGGACAACAAAGATGGCGGCGGGAAGCAGCAACTATTGGGAAGGTGAGGAGCGGTACGGAGGAGAGGCTGTGGCCGGTATACCGTGGAATGGCAGGCTGGTGGAGTGCGGCTGCTCGGTCCCGGCCTCTGGCCTCTCTCTGTAGATGGGAATGAGTGGAGAGGGAGCTGGAATGGGCCTGAATAGAACAGCTGAGGCAACCTGTGACTGTCTGCCCAGCTGGGGGAAGTGAGAGCTCCTGTGTGCCCCACCAGCCTCTGCCAAGGCCTGACAGGGAGTGTGAGTGTCAGCTGTCCCTGGGGTTTGGTCTCTGGGAATGTACTGGTAGTTGGTGAACACAAACTCCATCAGATCCCTCTTTGTATGAATGATGAGAGGGATCTGTATTGATTACAGGTACTTCTATAGTGCTGACCATCTACACAGCACTATACGTAGTCACATCAGTCCCTGCCCTCCAGGAGCTCACAGTCTAATGTCCCTATCACACGTACTAGGGCCAGTACACACAGGAGCCGATTAACCTGCTGACATGTCTTTGGCGAGTGGGAGGAAACTGGAGTACCCGGAGGAAACCCGCACAGGGAGAACATGCAAACTCCATGCAGATGGTGTCCTGGCTGGTTTTGACTCGAGGATTCTGGTGCTGCAAGGCAGGAATACTGACTAATAAGCCACTGTGCTCTTTAGTACAGAAAGTAGCGGTCCTGGAATGCCCCTGGTTGTCGGAAACCCTACATTCCTGTTTGCCTGTTTCAGTTCTATATAAATGTGTATAAAGGTTCTCTGATCTTGTTACAGCACAGATATAAAGCGGAGCTAAACCCATCTATTTAAATCGTATGTATAGAAAATCAGCAAGCGCTTGAAAATCATACAGCAGCAAAATGCACTAAAAAGGAACCTGTGACCTTCAAATTAGCAAATGTAACAGGAGTGCAGCGCTATAAAATCATATAATACAAATGATAAAGTACATGAAGTGCATGTGAATCCAAGAATTATATGTGAATCCTAAAATATCAGATAAAATCTGTACGCATAGAATAAACTGATGTGTGATCTGTAAATGATAAATATCAATAAACAATAAATAAATGTCCCATATAAGTGTGAATAGTCTTTAAATGTGGAATAATTCTTGTGCTTAAAATGATGAATTCTGTATTCCAATAAAGGTAAAACTCATATGAGCAATGATTCGGTGAAGTGCGGAAGGTCCGGTGGCCATCTTTGATTTCAGCTGGTCAGTGATCTTTTCAGCAAGCTCTGCAATTGTTATGCTATCTCGTGGATGACATGTCTTTTACCTAATAAATTACCTAAATGATACCACACTATGGGCACCCTTCTTTCTGGTTCTGTAATGAGCAGTGAAAATCCACAGAATCCCGGGTGACATCAGACTATAAGCAGCCCCAGTATCCAGAGGAGAGATTTCCTTACCAGGCTATACATCCATTCCACCTTAAAGGGGACCCCTGGCAGACTTCATCATATATTATACATTGCGTATTTTAAATGCGCATCTGATGAGTGTGCATTTTTACTACCTTCCACACTTCACCGACTCATTGCTCATATGAGTTTTACCTGTATTGGAATACAGAATTCCTCATTTTAAACACAAGAATTATTCCAAATTTAAAGACTATTTGCACTTATATGGGACATTTACTTATTGTTTATTGATATTTATCATTTCCAGATCACTCATAAGTTTCTTTGATGTGTACCGATTTTATTTGATATCATTTTAAGATTCACATATAATTCTTGGATTCACATGCACTTGGCACCTTATGTAATTTATCATTTGTATTATATGATTTTATAGCGCTGCACTCCTCTGTTACATATGCTATCAATTTAAATGTTTGCCAAAACAGTTACATTTAGGGCCAGTTCACACTACATGTAGTCCAGTGAATTTTTTTTTCTGCATCAAAAATGTATTGATAGTAGGTTACATGGTTTCCAATAGCATAGTTCACACCAATGTGGTCCATTCCAGTGCATTCCAGTTCCTGAAAAAAAAGTAGACCATGCTGCATTTTTTCTGCAATGAACTGTACTGGAACTCAGTAAAGTGCAGTAAAAACGCACCCGATCTTATTTGTAGAAAAAGGGAAAAAAATAAACTGAAACGCACTAAAAACACGCATACTGAAATGAATTTGGACTGCGTTTCTGTAGTGTGAACCGGCCCCTAAAGTGATTGTAAAGGTAATTTTTTTTTTTTTTTTTATTAAAATAATACACGTCATACTTGCTCTGTTGAATGGTTTTGCACAGAGCTGACCCAAACCTCCTCTTTTGGGGTCCCCCCCGCCGGTGCTGTCTGCTCCTTCTCTTTCTGCCCCCATAGCAAACTTCTTGCTATGGGGGCAGACGTATTTGAGCCGGGCTGTGTTTGTCTATTAACCACTTTCCCGATGCCTTATAGCAGAAATACTGCTACAGGGTGGCAGGGATGCGCAAAATCACATGTATATATACGTGATTTTGCATTTTTGGGTAGGGGCAGCTCGCCTCCATTGGTGGCATCACCTGGTGATCACTGGGTCCCCGACCCGTGATTCCCCGCCGCCACCCGATGATTGTCATGTGTCTCCCACGGGGGAGAGACCTGTATGTAAACAATACAGATCTCACCCCTGTCAGCTCCTGCACACTACTTTGTATTGCTCTGCATAGCAGAGCAATACAAAGCAATGTGCTTACACAGTAAAACACAACACAGCACACAGTTAACCCTTTGCTCACCCCAGATGTTAACGCCTTCCTGCCCAGTGTCATTAGTACAGTGTCAGTGGTTTATATTAGCACTGATCACTGTATTGGTGTCACTGGGGATGTTGGTGACAGTCAGTTCCCCCCCAGTGTTAGAATGCCTGCCGCAGTCCTGCTATTATCGCCGCCATTACTAGCATTATAAAAAAAAAAAATTCCAGTATCTATACCGTCATTTGTAGATGCTATAACGTTCACGTAAACAAATTAATTTGCACGTATTGGGATTTTTGTTTTAGCAAAGACATGTAGCAGAATATATTTTGGCCTAAATATATGACGAAATTTGATTTTTTTTTTTTAATTTTACTGGACATGTTTAATAGCAAAAAGTCAATAATGTTTTTTTTTTCTCAAAATTGTCTTTTTTTTTTTTTTTTATATAGCGCAAAAAATAAAAAACGCACGTGTTCAAATACCACCAAAAGAAAGCTTTGTTTGTGGGAAAGAAAGGACATAAATTTAATTCCACGCAATTGTCAGTTAACCTCCCTGGCGGTATTCCCGAGTGTAGCTCGGGGTAAAGTTTCAGTACCACAAGCGTAACCCCGAGCTACACTCAGGCTTACCATGCGGCACTGCTCCGGGATCCCTCGATCACTTACCTTGTCCTGCGCTCCCGCGATGTCCCTCCTGCAGTGTCCCCGGCAATGTAATCCGGCGGATGCCGGCATCTGTCATCTGGGTTCCGTCCCCTGTGAGCGTCGGGACGTACGGGGAACGGAACGGCGGGAAATTAAAAAGTGACATTCACTAAATACACTAAAATCACATAGTAAAACATTACTGTATCAAACCATTTCACATACATTTTGTCCCGAGTGCTCTGTCCTGTGCCCTGCCTGCATTTTTACTGTTCTTTCTGCCTGGAAACTGAGAAATGTCCATGGTGTCCAAAAAGCGTCCCTTTAGGTCAAAAACGGTTTTAGACCAGCTAGAGAACAGCGATAATAAATCAGAACCACTTGCAGAATTGAGTGATAATGATTTGTGGGGAAATTCCTCATCAGACACTAAAAACTATTTTGCGACTTTGCTCAGTGATGTGCGAACTTGGGGCTGTATTTCAAATTTCAGTGTTTTTGGTTTGATTATATTATTGAATTAAATTTATTATTATTGTATTATTTTTTTATGATTATTTATTAAATTATAATTTATGATTTTGTGTTTCAAGTTTTATCCTACCCGGGATGTTTATTAGACTCTTGTTCGGACAGATTTCAGTGAGTTATTCCTAAAAATTACAGGCCTACTATAAAAAAAATACATATTTCCATGCAAAAAAATGTACCGCTTTGAGCACAGAAATATGGACATAATCAGACCGCTAGGGAGGTTAAAGTAACGCTGCACCATATTGCAAAAAATGGCCTGGTCAGGAAGGGGGTAAATCCTCTGGAGGGCAAGTGGTTAAGGGTATTCTAATGCAGCGTTTCGGTGGTAATGATGTTTGAGGAGATTGTAGCCGTATTAGTGCATTTGCGATAGAAACAATTGAGTACTGTCCGTGATACTTTTTTTATTTGCACTAACATACAATTTTGAGGACAAGCTTTCGGGGAATGTCCCCTTCTTCAAGGTCTAAGCAGTACTACTCACAAAGTTAGCAGAATGTTAAAAGAGATGAAAGAAAAAAAAAAGAAAAAAGGAGGCTAGAGATAAGATGCAGTCAAAGCGAGGAAGGGGGGGATACTACACTCACACAGAGGGAGTCAAGCTACAGCTAATAGTCATCTTGAGAGAAAATATCACTGTTGATTTGTGTTTCCTTTGTGATTAGGTTGGTTAACTGCTTCTTTATGCGGCTATATGCAGTATCTTCCATTTTGTTTGAGTTGATTGTAGCCGTATTAGTGCATTTGCGACAGAAACAATTGAGTACTGTCCGTGATACTTTTTTTTTTTTGCACTAACATACAATTTTGAGGACATCTTATCTCTAGCCTCCTTTGTTTTTTTTTTTTTTTTTTTTTTCTTTCATCTCTTCTAACATTCTGCTAACTTTGTGAGTAGTACTGCTTAGACCTTGAAGAAGGGGACATTCCCTGAAAGCTTGTCCTCAAAATTGTATGTTAGTGCAAATAAAAAAAAGTATCACGGACAGTACTCAATTGTTTCGGTGGTAATGATAAAATTGATATAATTAAGTAAACAGATTCAAAATCTTAATCCAAAGGATTAGATCCCAACTATTACCAACTATTACAACATATTGCACCTCAGGTAATAGAGCCAAGCAGCTTACCAG